AACCTCACCACTATCTGCATCTTTGGTGCTACTTAACCAGTTTCCTTTTATTAACTCTTTGTTGGCTTGCTCATGCAATCTGTCTCTCCTACAGGTACTTCATATATCTTTTGGTTTATCCTTCATTATTTCTGAAGGTAACCATTTCCTAAAGTTTATTTTCAGAGAGAAAAATGGCATGGTTTAAAATTGAATTTTAAGGTAAAGTTAAGGTAGAAAACTCTTTGACAGAGGTCCTCAAAGAAAATGGGAAAAACTACTGATCTGTAAATTACTTCTGTATCTTTATATTAATATTGTCTTTAAAGTAAAGAAAAAAGAAAAGTCCATACTCATAGATTGTAGCCTGAACTCAGCACTCACTGAGCAACTTACTGTAACTTCAAAGTTTGCCTCATTCAGAGCAGGGGATGGGACCCGATGACCTTGGGAGAGGACCTAGGTTCTTACCAACTGAAATTAATCTGTGACTTTATGAAAAAGATTGCTTTTTATCCTTATTGAAAATACCATCTTTAAAAACCAACTTCTTAGATCAGAAATGGATGTGATAGATTTCTAACCAATGTGCACTGAGAGTAAAATGCACAATAATTGGTGTTAGACTTCATTGATGGGAAATAGTTTATTGGAAATAGAAATAGTTGTAAATTAAATATATATTTCTTATGAATTAATTCTAAAAACATAAGGCTGTATTGTCTCTGGAAATTATTGTATGGAAATTGCCAGTAAATAATCTGGTCTACTCATCCCATGTACGTAAGTGTACTTAATGCTTTTCTAATTTTTCTGAGCCTGTGATCACTGTCATCTCCACTAGATGGACCTCTTGAGATGTTAAACTTTTTTTGTTTACTGGTCTAATTGAATTTTATTTGTATATGAAACAGTATTTTTCTCTTAACTGTACAAGGTTTTAAAAAGTGCACTGCAAGGCCCAAATTCATTTCTTACAGTGAGTGCATATTGAAAAATAATACAACTGCTATTTTTAGTGAGGACCCATGATAAAATAGAACTATGAAATTTTACGTCTACCTTTACCCCACCCTATTAACTTCTAAAAACTTTGAGCAGGTACAACCAAATTTAACAGATGTAAAAATGTGAAGCGTATCACAAGGGAGTATTCACAAAGGTAAAGTTCAGCATAGGGAGATTGCGCTTTTTTTTTTTTTTTTTTTTTTTTAGTTTGTGGATGGGAAACCCCAGGGGTCATTCAAAACAGGCACCTAAATGAAGTGATAGGAATTATGCACTGCAGGCCTGTTTCTTTTTCCCAATGGGAAGAAGCAGCACAAGGAGCATAGCCTCCCTAAGCTAAACTGTGCCTTCAGTAGATGCCATCCTAAGTTCCAGCAGCAACCGAGCCCCATACATGGCCCGGTGAATGCATGCAGGCTCCAGACCACTTGATGGACTTGCCCACCAGTTAGCTGACAGGGATCATGCGGGGCTCTGAAGGAGTCACAGCCCTCTGTCTCTTACCAGACCGAAGCAGCAAAAGGCTGGGGTGCTTGTGATGGGGGGACAGCTGAAAACATGGGGAAGAAGTGAAGCATATTGCTGCCTAACTACAGGATGGTTAAGTTGCATTAGTAATACAGCTCATAAGCATTGTTTGAAATTTAAAAAGCTGCCTTAAGTTACCCATAAAATATCTTTATTATATTTTTCAACATCATTTTAATGTGTGTTATACAATATTTTTATTACCAGTGAAAGTATGCATCACTGCTAAATAGGAGTGTTACTTTCACGGATTATTAGCCAAGTTTGTAGCTAACAGTGGGTCATCCACTGTTCTCAAACTAAAAATGGTGGTTCTGCTGAAGAAACTTTTCTCTCCTTTCTGTTTACCCTTTCTGTATATTACACCTGGACTATCATTATATTGTTGTTTAGAATTAATAGTATTTTATTAATAAAATTAAAATGATTGATAAATATAATAAACGGTATGTTAAAAGGCTACTTATAATGTTACATATTTCTGTGAAAAGCCAGCAAGTTATAAAATTGCAATAAATAGAAAAAAAAAAATTTTGGATCAAGTACTTGGGTAATTCAGGTCTTCAACTGATAATCACATAAGTCAAATATTAAAAAGTTGTACAAAACTACAGGTACATGTAACGAAGCTAGCAAGCTTCGTTGGTCCTGAGCACCACATCGGACATGATTCCTCAATTTCTTCTAGCATTGCCCTTACTGACATATATTTTAAGCATTGCACTCTATGTTCTTACCTTCCATTCTTAAATGTTTGTTTATCCACAGACTAGCACTGTATTTATGTTATTTCGTCCCCACACTGAGCAGCAGAAGAGAATTGAAAGTTAGTCCATCTACTGTTTGCATTGATTCTATTCACCATCTTGCAGCAATTTAGTAGTAGTCTATACAAACAATTTTACATACCGTATTTTCTTTATTATTTTCACGCTTCATGGAGATCATCTCAATGAAGCTACAAGGTCAAGAGTGCCTTTTTCAAGTTTTTAACATTGAATGACTTCCTAAAAGGACAGCATTTAAGACTCTTGCAGAGAAACTTTTGTCTTGTGAGCGTATGTGCCGGTTTGTTGCCGTCTCGTCAGGCATGCTTTCCAGCTATCAGTGTATTAATTTTTTTTTTTCCTAAGTTTTTCCTTTTACTAGTATTTTGAGTAGAATTCTCAGATGCTTCTAGATGCCAAGCTTTATTAGAACGTCTGGCTTTACAGTTGTTCTCAACCAGTTCTATTTGCTTTGTCGTTAGCATTTAGTAACTTTTTTCTTCTCACTGCCAAGAAAGCATTAAAATCATTTGTTTGGTTAAGTATCAAAGTACATTGTTACATTTCTATCTATGGTTGTCCAATTTAGTAATTTGCAATGAGAATAACAGTGAACTTAATCGTGATTCTTTAGAGGGCCAGAACCTCAACTAGTGTAGAATGACAATCATGTTATGCTGGTTAGGATCTGGTCCAAAACATCGATATTCCACAAGATGGAAAACCTTAGTTAAGATCATCCTTTTGAAGACTCTGTGTAGATACAAGAAGCGATATGATCTGGTGCCTAACAATTGTAACCTCTTACCTTCCCAACTGTCCCTGGGGAAAAAAAGAGCTTTAGGAAACGTGTTCATTTCCTGCAATAAGTAGTCATTTAATTAAAGAACAAAAGTAACAGGAATCAAAAATGCTTGCAGCTGTGATTCTGTTAGACATTATATAAAAAAGAATGAAATTATAATACATTAAATTAGTTTTTAGAACATGAACTTAAGCGTTTTACAAACTAATTGTGGTAAGTTCAAAATGTCTTGTCAACGTAATACTGAATGACAGTGTGTCATGTCCATTTATGTCAGAGGCCTTGGAATGGTAAAGCCTGTACATGCACAACATCTCCTTTTCCAAGATAGACTGCAAAACAGTTTAAAACAAGTGTTAAAGGAGAGTAGTAGGTTCTTTCAAGTAGCTTTACTTCAGTCTTTTTCAGCAGATCGTCCCACTCCACAGGCCATCGCTCTTCTGACTTCAGAGTGAAGTACATCTCTGGTGTTTCCTTCTGTGTTTAAGTGCTGCAGAGACTTCATCTGCAGAGTCCTCCTTTTTATATATTCCCTGATGTGTGTTCAGCAGCAATATCAAAAAGTAAAGACAGATTCTTCTCAGAAGAAAATTTCTATGGCCTGTGAAATCTAGGAGAAATAAGAGACATTTTCAAACCACTTTGAAATACAAAATATATGTATAATTTTAAAAAAATCTGTGTTAGATTAACAAAAAAAGTTTTTTTATTAAAAAAACTATTCATTCTGTTTAAAGGTACAGTAACAGTATTGAAGAATATTAGTGACTTTAAATTTTAATTTTCACCAACGCATTTCCACACGTATGCCATGACTGTAGTGCAGTTCCAGTCCTCAGGGCCCAGTCTAACCAGTTTACAGTTATTTGGGAGCGCAAGTGCAAATAAAGGTGTGGGGTTGATTTTGGTTTTTTTCTTCTAGGAATTAAGCCACAGTTTGTCATTGGCAGAAATATTCTTTATTGTGCAGTGACCTTGTTATTTTGTAAGAGTTAAGCACTGTTGAGCTGATGTTTCAGAAAATAGGAGGACATGCTGCTGGTTTAATGTACAATAGTCTTAAGAGTCTGTCTGGAATAAATATACTCTTGCTCTGTAGGCTTGCTCTTTTGGCTGAGATATGTAATTAAAGTCCAAATCATTTGTAATGCCTTAGCACTAATTGTAAATTGTAAGCCTGTTTACTCCTAATATCCTGAACAAATTTCAAAATATATCATTATAATCTACTTAAACTCCCCAGGTAACTTCAATTAGAGAAGGTATATTTCACTTTCAGTCTTAAACTACAGCCATCCCATTTTTTTCCCCTATATTTCATTCTATCAATGCAGCGATGTCTCGCCATAAACTTTGAGTCTGAGTCCTATAATGTTGAAAGGGCCCTAACAATTGCATGAACAGTCTAAAATTATGTAAATATAGCATTTAGATCAACGTACATTGCATTTACTACTCAAGTGTATTTGCCTAGACCATCTTTTCATTGAACAGCCAAAGCTCAGTTAAGCTGGAATTCATTCCAAGTTCAGAAATAAGCATGGCAACGTGGGCCCAGGCACTGCTGAAGTGAGCCGGGCAGAATGCAAGACTGCGCACCAAGTTACAGTGTCAGGCAACTGATTTTAGCAGCAAGTACACCTGAGAATGCTTACAGACATGGTGAGAGTACACTGTGTTCCCAGCAACTCCTAAAATTGTGTTTTAAGAGCAACTGGACTTGCTCAAGAGGCCTAATAGAAATTGTAGGAAATAACTGATTGCTAGTTCAATTTTTCTCTAACTAACAAGGTCTTTTTACAAGTAACAATGGCTGTGGAATCAGCCTCTCTCATATTTTTTCCCACTTAGAAAAGGGAAATGAATGTTTTCATGCATGTTTAAACACAGTACCTGTCATCAGTGCTGGCACATGAAGCAAGCACTAGAGCAACCAGGTTCACGCTGGCCCAACCGCTCAGTGACAGGAGCCCAAACCAGTTATTTCTCCTGACCTCTCGGCTGGGCGGCCATTAAGCATGCTTTGGGGGACTGCACTCCTTCCAAGAGCAGCTGGACCAGCATTCAAGTGATACTGAAATCTACAGGCTGAATCCATTCGAACAAATCCAATTAGAACAAATGTGCTACTTATGGGCATTATATATGTCCTGCTATGGTGTGTAGAATTTTATATTTCTTAGCAGGGAAGTTGCAACATTTGTGATAATAAGGTTGTACACTCAAGTACATTTATTTCAAAAACCTTTATGTAGTGTATTAAGTTGTTCGTCTACTTTAAAAAAAATTTTTTTTTTCTATGTTATACCCTACATATAATTTTTTGTCATAGCTTTTGGATCTTCGACTCAAAGAATACAAGCTGAGTGATGTTCTGGAGAAGGCCTGGGGGCTTCTCAGTACATGCTGATCAAAAAGTAAAAAAAAATTCAGAAAAGCCAGGTTCTGAACAGGAAGACAAATACTTCCATTTCCTTAAAATAAAGCTTCCTTTGCATATTCTTCTCCCACACCCAGGATGTAAGAGCAAAATCTACAGCTTCAGGACTCAAGCATGCTGGTTTTAGCAGGCAATGGAAATGAATAGCTGGAAAACTGACCTTGTCAAATGTTTGCTTGATGCATGTACCTCCATTTCATTACTTTTATATTCATTTAGCTCTTTCCGAATTGCTGCCTAGGAGTTGAAAATAGAAGAAGGTTAACAAACAATTTTGTATTTATAAGCATTGTAAAATACCGGACTTGCAGAGCAGCACAGGAGTTTTCTAAAGTAGAAATAATAGGTATTGGGTATAGCAAGCACACTGTGCCGGTAGAGATGCTGACTATTTAGGTGGTATGGATTGGTGATATGGTACTTATCATTCATTACTGATTGCTGAGAGGGTCACTTCTGTCTAGAAGCAATTCTTACAGGAGAATAAAACCACAGTGCTTATCGTCTCCCACTGAATAAGATTCCAGTTAAAATTTATTAAAGATTAAGAGAAGTTGCTGAGAAATCGATCAGCTGGTCAACTGACTTTTATGGAATTTCAATGTGTGTCATTTTTTTAATAAAAATCAGACTGTTTGCCTTATCACAACTTGCAAATACCAGTCCAGACTGTGTTATCACCTGTATCCATAGGATTGCACAGTCATAAATGAAGAAAAATGTTCTCTTTTGGTGCTTAATATAATGAAATTCCAGACTATGAAAATGAGATAATTCTTTTGTTTCGATGGCAACTGTGAGTGAACTGGAACATACTAGTGCTTTCATAGATTCTTACATATTTGGTACTTTGTAGTTTAGCTGCCTAAAATTATAAGGCTTGTACCCATGTTCATGTTTTATATCAGAGATTTGGCTTGTTAAAAGAAAAATGAGGAAAAATAATAATGTATTTGCTCTGAAAGAGAAGTTTTTCAGTCACAAATGCAACGGTCAAACTCCTGACCCTAAATTCCTGATGTATGCCACCAGTATATGCAATTGAACTCTTTTACTTTCTTTTTAGCTTATAAACCTGCCGAGTTAACAATATAAAAACAGTAAAACTAGGAAAAGCCTAATTTTAATACATACCCAGTACATACAAGGAAAATACAAAATCATTATTCCATTGATTAATGTATAATAACTTATTCACCATTTTAGCGGGCTCAGGAGAACAGCTACTGTAGAAGTACATTGTTCCTTTTCTATATGAGTCCTCTACAACCAGTTGTTACACTTTTTATTGGGGAGACACTGGAATGGAGAATGAAGTGTTTGATCTCCACATCTCAGCAAAGCGGTAAGTTTACCCAGTAACTGTCTGGGCATCGCTACTCGTTCTGCTTGCTGCGGCCCTGAAACTTCAAAACTTATGTAGCAACTGTTCTATCTGGAATCACGCTGAACTATTTTCCTTACTACTCAAGCACCTAAATGTGAAGTTAAATTAGGGTGTAAATCAGCTGGGTGGCAGGTCTATGATGGCACAAAAACGAGTGTTTGTTTATGCTTGTGAAAACGTAGGATCAAGTGACTCCTTGAGCATTCATAGGAAACAGGAAAGGAAATACTTGCATGTTTAGAAACATAGTGGAGGCTATTTGCATGTTTGGGACAAAACTTCCAGTCTGAGGATGAATGTTCATACTGCACTGGCTGGAAATGTTTTTGAGTTGCCCTAAAGCGTTAAGATTGTATCCACTTCTAGGTTTTGGTTTGGTTTTTTTTTGGTCAGTTGATGGGCTGGGTAGAAGCCTTTGTAGTCTTTATAGTACTTAGTAGGCATTTTTATAAATAGCGGTTTTTGTGACAGTATGCATTGGTCAGTGTGGTTTAAGCATAAAAAATAATGGTCACATTTACAGAGATTAAATGTCCCAGAAGTTAAATGTCTTTGCAGAATCTGGTGTATCATTATAGACAAAGCAAGTAGAAAGCAGTAATACGTCATTTTAATTATGTCAGTACCTTATCTGCTGCTGATAGTCGGGTCCACGGTTTATCTGCTCGCCTGTCGTAGTCCTGTGCTTTTGCCACTTCCACGTAATCACTGAATCGAATCAGGATTTTCCTGTCTCTTAGTTCATCAACTGTAGGTCTCTGGTTAAGCTGTATTAAATAGTTTTGTAAAATAAAACCAGTGTTAATAACAAATATATCAATAAAATGTGCGATGTTTTCTGCTTCCCATCTTAGCTTAGTGTGCACTTACGTATATGGGGAAAAAAAAACGGAACCCTTGGGAATTCCAGGGAAATATTCAATCCTTCAGAGGATCGTTAGGAGAGCAATAATGATTTAAGTGGAGATGTGGGCTACAGCACAGTGGCTTTATAATGGACAAAAGAGGAAAATATTTTAACCTGGATATTGATAAAATGCATTTACAATACATAAGGGAATCAGAATTAATTTATTATGGTCGATGTACAACATCATACACACGTAGGGGTTTGCTAGTACGCTCAGCGGCAGATTGTCTCGGTAAGGTTTTCAGGACTGGACCCATTGTAAGAATTTCAGTTTGGCTTTAACAAGTTATTGGCATATTTGGCTTATAATTCCAGTAGGGATTCCTAGGAACAGAACAAGAAGATCTAGTTCTGATTCTGAGAATACCTTAAATGCAAAGAGAAATTTATTGTGGGAGCACACCTGGTGCTCAGCAGGGAGTCAGCTCTGCTACTGGTTGCTACAAAGAATGAAGTAGTCCTTTTCTAGCAATATAGTTGGAAAATATGCAGTGTGCAAGCAAATACCCATTTTGTGATTTAAAGTTTATATGTAAATATTCTACTGAGTCTCATGTAGCTGAGATAAGGTAGGTATTTTTATAATTCATATTACTAGATACCGCTATCTCAGACACTGCTGAGGAGGACGTATAGTAAGGGAGGTTTTGTGTAATAATGACCTCTGTGACTGGTTAATGCTATATCAGCTTTGCTAAATTTCTAAAAACTGATAGAAGGTATTGCAAGATTTTACCTTTCTTGTCAGTCTCTGTTTGATTTCCCTTCTTTCCTCCTGTTCTGTTTGATCATTTCGTTCTGTGGAGAATATTAAAAAAAAAAAAAAAATATTACTTTCCTCATGAGGAGGATCCGTAGTTTCCAAAGTTCCAGGCAACAAAAATTAGAGCATAGAAGAATTAGTAGCTGTTCTTAGTTGTATGTTTTGTTAGTTCAGTACATCTCTCTGGTTCTCTGTTAGAACGTACAGTTACCTCTCTGTAAGGACAACGTACTGGTGCCAATGTCAGCTTTTCCTGTGCTCTAAACTCCAATTCCAAGGAGATTTAATAAAACAACAGCAGCCACACCAACTCTCCAATTGTATAAACTTTAGAGGGAAAATAAAAATATTCCATAGTTAATCATCTTTTTTTTTTATGCTCCATGTTGCTGGAGCCATTCATTGCAGTAGATGCTGAAAAGACTGCAGCAGCTCCAGGGTAACTATGGTCTTTCCCGTGTAACCTTATTCTCAGGCTACATCTTTAGATGGTCACGCTGCCACAATAGTTGTCTTTGACTTGCATGCTTTTTTACTCTGCTATTCAGGATATGCCACTGACATTAGAACCTCTTTATCCTCATGGGGTTTTCTTTTGTAGTGTTCCATTCTAACCTAAGCCAGCTTGCTTTTGTGTGTTGTGCCTATTAACATTCAAGCCGTGATAACTCCTACACACTGGGTCTAAAAATAGACTAGAGTGCTGTAACACTGTGAAACATATCCTTTGCCTTAGGAAACGAGTTAATGGCGTTTCTATTTCTAGTACTATCTGTTACTAAATTAAGGCGTGAGCCGATGACCTGAACAAAACTGAGGACCTAGAGAAAAATGTTTTACCATTTTGGGATTCTCTAGATACTACTGTGAAGTTTATTATACCACTTGCATTAGGTATTTCCAGTGTTAAAGCACACACGTGATTTTTAATATGCCTCGAAAAACCACTAGCACTGCAGACGAGTTTCCAAAATGATATTTTTAGTAATGAAGTATTTTTCTCCCTTATTTTTACGCTCATTAGATTACACTGAAATGCAATCATAAGTATCTATTTAAAATAACATAGTAGTGCAGAGCTACAACTGGCTATATAGAAATGTAAATCAAATGAATCTAAAATGCTATCATGTGCTATATTACAATTCGGTGGCAAAGCACACAAATTTAAAAGAGAATAGGACAGCTAAAATTAGTGCTCTGTCAGGGATGGGCAGCTATTTAAGTCTGGAGTGTTTAAAAAGAGAACAGGCTTTAAAAAGTAGAGTGTATTTATTCTAAGATGTAGAGATACCTGCAAGAAGTTACTAATATGCTTCATTCAGTTTTCATTCACCCCTTTTAGAGTAGATATTCCTATCTATATATTTTTATTAAAAGAAGAGAATTTTTTGTGGCGTAGTGCCTTTTCAAGATTTGACTGTGATATGCACTGAGAGAATTCCTAAAGAAAAATCACAAATACGCATTTCTGATCAAAAAAATGTTTTTCCAAATATACTAAACGTGTATAGTGACCCATTGCTATGAGACATTCACTCAGGTTCAGTGCTTTTCCCTAGCTTCAAGAAATAAAATAAATAGTTCTTCTAGAAAAAATAAAACACAATTTGATAGGACATGCTAGCAAGGGCATTATAAAACTCAGGCGTTATTACAGAGACAAACCGGAGAGGTTTTTCCCATCAGCGTCACTCTGCCTACACTTCGATCCATTCATTAGTGAGGGCTGGTTTTATAAACCTCAGTAGAGAGACGCTCCCAATTACGAAGTGGCATGTGCGGTACTGTAATTCATTTTGCTGCTCTGTGAGTTATTCAGGGAACTCTTAGCTGTGCATGACACTAAAACAATTCCTGGTGTTAAGAATGAACCGGGGATTGTACGGTGTGATTTAAGAGGTGCTGCCTTCTTGAATGTGAATGTCAGCTTTCTGGTGAATACAGGAAGAACACGTGAAGACCTGGGTCGTGATTTTAGTTCATATGCATTTCATGCTTTCTGGTAAACCAGCAGTGTTTCTATGGTTAAAGGACTTAGAAGATCAACAAAACTGTAGAGAAAGTGATGGCTTTAACTTTGCTTTTTAAGTATTACTTTTATCCCAGAAACATCTCCCTAAGGGAGATAAGAAGTCACTTTTTTTAATCTTACTGAGATTTGTTTTAAAATAACATAGTAGTTGGACTTAGGCACTTGCAATATGCTTCTCATTTTGACAGAGTTGTACAAATGTGAATTATTAGTCCTTAAAACAGCTCTGGGGTTAGCATTGCTTCTGTTAGCAGTATGTACTATGAACTTCAAAGGTGTTTAGGAAACTTAGGACGCAACTCTACAAACCCTCACAACTGGGGGAGGTTGTAGTGATTGCACTGAAGGGCATTTATACTGCTACAGCTTTGCATGTCAGACCCAATCCAGGTGTTTTTAAAGTCCATAACAAGAATGTCAATATCCTTGTTAATAAAGGGAGACTTTACTAATTTCCAAATTCACTCCAAACTGAGACTAGAGTTGTTGCATCTGTCCAGCCTTTTAAGATTGCAACTGACACAGCTATGTGATGACCTTAGCTCTTTACAAGATACCAGCTTTTTATATAATGGTGGCGGTAAATAAAATAGAAGTGGTTCTGATCTCAGCTGAGCCTGTATAAAGCCTGAGCAACGGAACCGAAGTCAAAAAATTTGTTCCATGCTGGGAGCTCTTTAAATGAGATACAAATCTAGACCAGTACGTTTAGCTGGCATTCAGGAAATATCTTTAATTCTGCTTTATCTTCTTTCTGCTTTATCTGTCTCTAAGCTCATTATATGAATGTATTCAAACTTTTGTATTATTAAAGCTGGTCAGTTTAACCCAGATTAAGGATGTAACCAGCACACTTCAAAAAGTAAACATAAAGGAACAGATTTTTTTCAGTAGAAATCAGCTCTTCCTTAGCCAGGAAAAAACCCAAAGAAACAGATTTTTAGAGATCTTAGGTACTGACTCTTGAAAATCTGGCCCCACATATTTCAGGATCTTGGGTTACTGCTTTTTCTTGTCTCATGTGGTAGATGACAGGTGAAGTTAGGCCAAGTTCATCCCTTCACACTTGCAAAGAATGTATCCTTTTTCTCATTTAGCTATGCACGTGTTAGATACATCTAACTTTACCACGTGTGATGTATGCATTGGAACAGTACTGAAAACACCGATAAATGTTGACTGTGGAATTCCATTGTGTTAAAACTGAAATGCAATTCCCAATAACTTCAATGGCAAGAGCATAAGGTTTTTTTCTATGAACTACTAAGAAAGTTCTGAGACATTAAATTTTAGGTAACAAAATGCAGATAACTTTTTTCCTAGCAAATTACAATCACATTAATAATTAAATCTATATTAAATAGCACAGCCAGCATCGCTTGTATGACATAAACTTGCGTGGCTTTATGTTTTATGCTTGTTTAATGAGAAACAAACTATTGTTCACATCATTCTGTTTTTTGTCTTTCAACTCTAAATAGACCATGAAGGTAACAGAAGCAATACACTTTTCCTTCAAACAGATGGCCTCCCCCCTTCTCCTGTCTGAGACCCATAATGGAGACAGTTTCAAAGCTCTCTCTCACCTTCCCCTAACTTAGAGGAGTCCCAGCACTTGTAAGGAAAGGGATTATGTTCATCACTTGTTTGATCCCCAGGTCAGAACGCCAGTCTTTAGGAAAAGAGTTGCAAGTTTCTGCCTTGTGTTTATTTGAGAGATGTTGAGAACATTCCCCTGTGGCAGCACCTGTAACAGGCCTGGAACTGTCCCTCTGATAACTAATGTCTCAGAATGATGTTTCTCTGACTTGTCTTTGCGAAGATCTCTAATGATATGAGCAAATGTACTTGCTAGGAGAATCACACCTCTGCAAGGATGCTTTCTCCATTCCACTTTAGCCTTGGTGGTATTCAGTGTACGGTTTGCCATGACAGTCCACATCTTGAAACATGTCAGTCCAATTCTCATTGCAGTCTGTGACACTAAGATTGTATTCGCCTCTTAGACACCCATAACAGTGTAATCAGAATGAAAATGATTTGAAAGCCTGAATTTGAACAAGTCATTCTTTTCTCTACTAAATTGCATGCCTGTATCAAGTTGTAAATTCTGATTCCCGCAGTATTCGAAACCCAGGACATGTGAAAAATTAAAACTTTTAGGTACAGAAAATAATCCCAGTGAATGAATTTGTCTGTTTAAAAATAATATGTTCTAGAAATGCAATCACTGATTTCAACAAACACACATAAAATACTTCAGGAAAAAAATACTCACGTTTAAGTATATTTCTTCTTTCTAGCTCCTCAACAGCAGGTCTTTGGCTGAGTCGCCTGCGGAAAAACACCAAAATCACATTTTGTACCATGCCTGTTCTTTGGAAAGTCTGCAGTATTCTGAGTGCTGGTTGGTGTTTTCCTCAGGGAGGGGACTACAGAATCCCTCTCCAGGACTCGGGAAGAAAAAAAAATACAGGAATCCTGGCACCAAAATTCTTTCTTATATTCTTTTTCCCAAGTGTCAGCAATGCAGGTCGAAGTTCTCCTCTAGTTTGCTCTGCTGTCAGTGAAACGCTGCCTCAGAACGTGCATCCTTTCACCATACTTTCCAGACAGTCACTTGGAACCAGCGCTCTCCAACGGTTAAATTCGCTCTTGAGGGGGTATTTAAGGTGGTTATCAAATGAGTTTCACAGTGATCTTCTGTAGCTATCACTGCCTCTACCTTTTAATCTCACATACCAGCAGGCTTCTTTTTTTCTAGTAACACCAGTGGTGCATCCTGACAAAATGCAGACTTGCCAGAAATAAAGCTTTCCTGTGGTTTCCCGACTACACATCTAACAGACCAATCCAGCAGCTCTCCTCCTGCCTGCTGAATAAAATTCGTGTGCTGCTCACAGCCTCGCGCTGTCTGAACAGAGTGTCTTATGCAGTTTCACCTCCCCTTTTCAGCAGTGCTGCTTCAGGATTGAGTCTTCAAATCATATGATCAGTGCCATAGTGATTTTGTTCTGCATACTAAATGAGACTTCCCCACGAGACACTGCTAATATCTGCAGTCTCCCCTAGGCGGACACACACACATGCTGCATTTGCTAGCTTGCAAGTAATAATCCAGCAAGCAGATTGGAAAGAGTTTATGATGCTTTCTGGCCTGCGTTCTGGCAATGTTAAGGATTCTCATCGTCTCCTCTCCAGTAGATGTTGCCAGGCCAGAGATAAAGTTACAAAGACAAAGAAATACTTGGAGCAGGGACCACGCTGCAAACCACTGCTGCAGTAGTTATCCTTCTACTGTGTATAGGAAATAAAGGAATTATTATAAAGTGATGCTATAACAAGATCTACATTTTATCAAATATACAAGAGATGAAAAAATGAAGTAACTGTTAACAGACTGTAAAAGAACTGGTAGAAGTACCTGAAACTAATTTCTCCTTGGTTTGTATCTTCAAAATCAACTCTGTATTCATGTTATCAGACCAAGAGCCCAAAATATGAATGCAACTCCTTATCCTTTTTTAATTAATTTCCTTGAGATCACTGGGAAAGCTCTCATCTTTGGCAACAGGAAAGCATCACGACTACTCTACCAGATTCACAGCAACAAAAGCTTGGATGATGAGCTCCTGTGCTTAGAACACCTACAGCCTAACTCCCATTCTTCCCAGCTTATATTTTGTATCACCTAAGGTTTTTCTCCTGGTCTCTGGGTTTCTCTTTGGAGTAATGAGTCAGATACTCCAGCAGTGGAAGTTGCAATAATCCAAACTGAAACAAGAATGATGCTGAAATGCCCTAGTAAAGGCTTTAAACATGTATTTTTAATTCCCGTTACCCTTGGACTCTTCCCTCCTCACTCATCTCCATGTATGTCTCAGAAATGATACAAGTCTGGCTAGGTTTTGTTTGAAAAAGATTGATGGGCATTTTATAATAAAATCAGGGAAGAACGACTTACTCAGAGAGCTTATCTGCAAATGAAAGATCCACCCGACCTGCTGCTCACATGCCTCTCTCTCAAGCCATTCTTAATTACAGCCCTTCCATGCGAGATTTATAGATTCTCCCAGAATCTGTACATTAGATTTCAGAGGCCCCTTTTACACCGGGGGATTAAAAGCCTAACACAAATGATTAAAGCAGTATGAGAATGTGTATGTACATGAATGCTCTGTATATTTTTTATATATATAGTTATAATATGTATGATGGTTACTTATTTAAAACCCTGTTTCCCTTTTGGCTTTGATAAATACATGGTAGGTGCCCAGAGACAACAACGTATTTCTGTGCACACCCTCAGCTTTACCCACAATGGAAGGAAAAGGTGCAGACAGATATACACAGGCATATATATGCACAAGATGGCATTGCATTTTTTTTCCTGAGTTTTTCAGAGATATGGGCCACACTTTCAAGCTTTTTGTCAGTCACAAAACCAGATGTGGACTTTTCTTCAAAATAAAATTCTAACAGCATTTCGGGAAGCTGGGGATAGAGTGAAAACACCAAATACAGCGAGAGTCACGATCAAACAACGGGCAGTGGCAACACTGCTGACGTTGTTGCTACCAAGGTGCAGGGACATTTTGTTTCTAGCTATTATTTTTGCTGTTCAGGAGAAGCCTCTCTCTGCCCAGAAACCCCTTTCGTTTGCTTTCTCCGCTGGGAGAGCTGTGCTGCATGGTGGCTGGGCTCTGGGCGAGGGAAGGACTCCAGCTGCCTCCACCGAGGGCTGCTGATTGCAACGAGGGGAAGCAGCTGTGAGCGCGGGCGAGCGAGGGCCGGGGGGGCCACGCGTCGCTGCTGAGCGTAAATCAGGAGGGTCTTTCTGCAGAAGGGTCTTTTCTGCACCCGGAGAGGACTGTGCCTGCTTGCAGGGTGCACTGCCTTGCGCGATCGTCTGTCATGGCAAGAAACTAGGTGCTGCTGCGGGTATTTACTGTGCGAGCAGAGCCCGTCCTGCCTGAGTTGCTCAGCTGCTTTTGGAGGATGGAGGAGGGTGCTTCATCCCCCCCCGGGGGTCTAAGCAGCCCCAGCTGCACTTTGTTTCCTCAGAGGGGGACCGCTTGATACTGCCGACTTCCCTCAAAACTCGCCTGCAGCCGGGCTCAGAGCGACATAAGGACACATTTCTGAGGGCTTCTGTTAGGTCAGCGGCTCAGCATAGCGCAGGGGGAGCTGCAGGTTACCCCTGTCAAAAATGCATGTCCCTCTCGAAGGGAGCTTTTAAGTAAGAAACTGTTTCAGATGAGTTCGTGCCTCTGCTTGGGTGAGCTGTTCTCTGGGCACCACGGGGCTCCACATGCGCTCCTGAGCAACTAGTGCTCTAAATTGGATATTTATTTCATGTTTTTCTCTGAAGCTGTTAAAATATGAAATTTTGCCTCTGACAGAACCAGAGAACAACCCCTCTGTGCTAAGCGTGGTGCGTTCCTCAGAAGGTGGCCATCTGGCCCTGCGGAGAGGCAGCGCCATGGCCTCAGAAAGGCCACCACGCCTCAGGGAAACCTGGCCTGGGGAAAGGCGGCCGGCTCTCCTCAGACCACCGTTGGGGAGGGCAGGCCAGGAAGCAAGGACTAAGAGACTAAAGCTCTACAGAGGGGATGCTCAAGTCTCCTGTGTTTAAAGGAAACAAACTCCAGCTGAATATCGATTATCAGCAGGCTGGATCACAGCAGGGGAGCTGGTGTGCGATCCCCGAGAACGAAGCAGTCACCTGCCATGAAGAAGCCTTTGTGAAGGCTAAAAACTGAACCCTCAGTGGGCTGTGGATGATCTCCACAAGCTTTGCATAAAGAGAAGTCTGTATTACAGGGCCACAGGCCATTTTGAAGGAGAGCAGAGTCCTGGCTTGTTTCCTGTGGGTTCAGTAAAGTGCCTGCACCTGAGCGTGAGTGGTTGCAGGGCTCCACCCTGGGCCCAGCCTGCATCCAGCCTGGGTGCCGTGCTGCTTTGCAGCTCTGGTTGTAGGAGTCATTTGAAGGTCTGAGGTGGGCATGAGACTCCAGCACCGCTGTAATATGGATGTGGACGTCTAAGTGTAAGTCCTGTGCTTTCTGTTTCTGTTGTTTTTTCACCTGGGGACTTATAGCCCTACACAGGATTCACCTCGGTGAGGTGACTGTAAGCTCCGCTGGGAGCACTAATGTAGTGCACTGCTTCTGTTGTGTCGCAGTAATGGTTTCTTTTCAGTTGATTTAAATTTAGATATCTATTTCTTGCTTTTGGGAAAAGCATCCAGTTAATGCTGTTGTGTTCTTGGGTGATATTAAAATCTAGGTTTGTGTATTTTTGCACTGTCTGCTGAGGCAGGAGTGCTCCTTCTGAGCACCTCTGCAGGGTCAGCCATTTTTGGATGGGTCTTGAAACTTTCTTGAAAACTGTCAAGTAACTCCCAGGCAAGCCCTGTCTCTGTCCAGATCCTCCATGGTGTAAATGCATGCACTGTTATCAATATTGCCACGGTCTCATGTTAAGAGTATGCACTCCAGGAATTTGCGTCCCTTTTAGCTTAAACGAAGGGATGCCAGGAGCAGAAGTAAGCGGAGCTGAACCTGCAGTGCCTCAGTTGAGGTGACTGCAGCTGCCTCAGGAAACGCGAGCAGAACTGGAGGCACCAGTGTCGCTTCCCTGTAAATGATGTTTGGATACAGCTCAGACAGTTTGCTGTACATGTGTCAGTGATGCTCCAAGTTTGGATAGAGACCAAAAGCTGAATAGTTTATCATAATGCTAAAGCAGTCACCATAAGTTGCAGGGGGAGGATGACACACAACACTACGTGGACAGCTGCTTCTTAGGTTCAGAAAAATAACAACGTTTGTATGTTATTGTTGTTCTGTGCAAAGTCAGCATAAACGTTCAATCACCAGGTGTTCTTCAGCTGTTTGAAGTTTGGGGAGTGTTTTGGGGGTATTTTCAGATTACCTTTAGAATGTTTTCTCTAGTAGTTTGGGCTTGGAAAGATATTTATAAATATTTATGTTTATAAATTTATATATTTCCATCTCTCAGAAGGCAAAGACACTGCCTGCTCCCATGTCCTCTGCAGTGTTACACCTGAGGGTGAGAGGAGCAGGTTGTTGCAGGTTAGCTCAGACGCCTGTGGTTCACCCCAAGAACACCCTGCAGGTACAGCCACATGCACTCTTGGTCTCAACATACCGTGGGTGCTGAGAGTCTGCACATGGCCTCAAGATATTTGTTTTCTCCCTGCAATGCGCACATGGGAATCCTGTGACGTTCATGAGTGCTCCATGCTGGCTCTGCAAGGGGCAATAAATCTATGAGTGTCTGGCTGTTTCCCTTGATGGTACATGTGCGGT